TAATATATTTCTTATGATGAGAAAATTAACTCGTTCATCAAATATTAGTTACCTTTAAAATGAAATTTTGAAGTTATAAAATTAAATACATTATAATGCCCAAAAAGAATTATTTTTGCTAATTATGTAAAATATTACGAAAGCAGCCTTAATTATACTTAATTTACGTACATTGTGAACAATAGTACTATTGTTCTTTTCCGTGGATTTTCTCAAATTAAATAATTTTTAATTCACTTAAATTTATTAACAAATAAAATAATTAGAAAAATACCAGTTTCATCTGAATTTACTCTTGATAAATTTTATCTTTTAAAGAATAAGACAATGACATTTAGTTCATTTGGACATTAATTTTATTCAATGTACGCAATGAAATTATAAAATTTAGGGTAGCATAACAATCTGTTAGTTGATTTAATCAATTAGCAACTTTTGCAGTGAATGATTCTTTTAGTTAAGAAAATTCTTTTCAAACAGCCATGGGACCTAATAAACCGTTGTCTAATATAAAAAATGACTTTTCTTTGTTGAATTGCATGTAAAATTATTGGATTTAACATTTTGTTTAAATGCTAAAAATACTCAGCATAGACACAAAATAATTAAAAAAATATTATCATTAAATTAAATGTTTAAACCAAAAATGAAAAAGATCTATGTTGTTGTACTTGATCCAAAGTTACCAAAGGATTAGAGACTCTTGTGTATAGAATGTTTAGAGAATACAGACACAGATGGCAAAGTTGTAGGGTTTAAAAAATTATTTCATTAAGAGAAGAAAATTAGATCAAGAGATAGAGAAGGTAGAAAAGGTTATTGTTAACTAAATAAAGTTAATTGAATCATTGCATAGTGTTGTCGATCAAATGAAATCAAATATAATCTAATAATCAAACTAATCGATTATTCTGATATTGGAATGGATTCAGAATTTATAATGATAAGGATTATAATATTATTAATATAGTTTTTACAATGAATTAGAAATTATGTAATAGTAGTAAAATTAATCTGGTTCCAACTAATAAACATTAATCCATGAAATTTAGAAGATAAATTTCAGTTGGACTTCGAAATTGTATCCTAAATTAGACTACTTAAATTAATTTATAGAATATAATAAATGTAAAGAACTGTTGTTGGATTTAGAATTAGGTTCTTATAAATTAACTCAGAATGAATAATAATAGTCAATCAAAATATCATAAAAAAAATAAGAAATAAAATCAATGAGTACTTTAATGAATATTCAATCAGAATAAACTATTTAAACTAGTCATTAATAGAATGTCAAATAAGTTAATTATTAATTAATCCCAGAATGCTCAATCTCATAAAAAGAGTGGTGTTGGCTATAGATATTGATAAAGATTGTTCAAAATTGATGGCTGGATGTAATTCATTAATTAAAGTATTTGAATTTAACTAAGGAAAAATTAAATAAATTAATCTTTAAATTAACATAAAAATGTGGTCAATACTTTAAACTTCATGAAGAAATCTAAATAGTTTATATCTGTAAGTACTGATAGCTCTATTATAATATGGAATTATAATTCAAATCATTTATGGAGTTTATAATAAATATTAAATGGGCATAGTCTTATTCTCTAGTGTTTAGTAATAAATATTATTGAAGATATAATTATAAATGGAAGCAGCGATACAACTATTAAATTTTGTAAGAAAAAGAAGGAATGGTTGCGGTATTAAACAATTACTGATCATTCTAAATCTGTATTTGGATTAAGTTTAAATTAATAATAAAATAGAGTTGTATCATGTGGAGAAGATAAATATATATTAATAATTGAACAATAAGGATATAATCAGAAATGGGAAGTTATAAAAGATATCAATTAAAAAGAATGGATATAGAATATGCTTTATTGATAACAATATGTTCACATTTTCACCAGTATCCAAAGAATATATATCTGTTTTTGAGATGAATAACTATATAGAGTGGATCAGATATATGTGTAGGATTTCCTTAACAATATATAAATTCAAAATGTATTCTAGTGAGTAAGAATGGGTAATATGTAAATTTGGTAAGAAAATAATTAAATGGAAAATTTCTAACTCAATAATCTATTAATTTTTTCTCTAAGTTTATTTATATAATTTTCATAAAAAGTCATTTTATTTATTAAGATCCTTTGTTAATTCTATAGTAGTATAGACTATCATAAAAGGTGCCTATTTTTTGAGTATTGATTAGCGGAATTTATTTTTACTGGAAAATTTAGCTTTTGTGCAGCAACTTTCATAATGTTAATTTTTGGTAAGATCTACCTTATTCCTCCTATCGCAATATGTAGAAGGAACTTCTACGCTTTGATTATCATATAATTCTTCTTCTGAGGACTTTAAAAATAATCATTAATAGGAGTTTCAGAATAATGATATGCATTTTCTTACAAATAATTTCACTATCCTTATACCGATATCATCTCTGCAGCAAACTAGGAAATTGGTGTCTCAAAAAATATATTCAGCATTCGTAAATTTTCTTCAGCACAGTTCATTATTATTCTTTGGTTTTGGCCTTATTCTTCAGTTTTTTTTTAGGGAATATTTTTAATATTATCATATTTTGGAGGAATCTTAAGTAAATTACTGATATCATCGACAAAAGATTAAGTTAACTCTGTTAAACGAACTTTATTAGTAATTAAGACAATTAAACATATTAGGTTGAATTTCTAATATTTTACAATGTAAAAGTAAATGCATTATTCTATTTTAATTTTTTGTCATAATTGTAATATTTTTCATATTAAATATTATTTTAATACTAAAATGATTTCATTACAACCATTGTTATAAATAGAAATACATCATTCTTTTTCATAAATTTTAAAAAGGGGCATATTAACCAAACCTTCAACTCATAGGTTTTGTTTACTATGCCTATTCTTTGCTAGATATATTGGCGCTGGGGCCCACTAAAATCGTCTAAGATTAGCGAGTGTACTTCTTTTACTAGCATTTAAAGATGAAATTATAATTTATTTTATAATAATTCAATTATTGAATTATTTTTCACATTTATTTGTCAAATAGCCATTTACAATTCGATCTTTGACCCTCAGCTGATTTAAATTGCCCTTATCCATGTCTTTAATCATTAAGCCATTCTCCATCATATAAAGATCCATCAGCAAATTTCATTTGGCCCTTTCCTGCTCGCTTATCCTCTTTCCAATCACCTAAATATTCAGCTCCATCAGCCCATTTATATTAACCCTTTCCATGCATTCGACCATTTACAAAATCTCCATCATAATAATCTCCATTAGCCTTTTTATATTATCCCTTCCCTTGCATTTTATCATTGAAATAATCTCCATAATATTATGATCCATTCAAAAATTAAAATTGACCCTTTCCAGTTTTTATGTCATCTACTAAGTCTCCAATATATAAACCTACATTATTATATTTCATTTGACCCTTTCCAATTTTTTTATCATCCATCCAATCTCCTTCAAATTGATCCCCATTAGCCCATTTAAATTTACCCTTTCCAACTCTTTTATCATCTTTCCAATCTCCATCATATTCATTCCCATTAGCCCATTTAAATTTCCCCTTCCCAGTTCGTTTATCAT